GCCGGAAATGCTTGTGACACAAGGCAGCGTGCGTCAACACATCCACAGCGACATCTACTGGTCTGGAAGTTGTATTACACTTGCTTTTGGCTGATGTTCGCCAACCATTCATGCAATTTTATTTATTCATTTTTTTAGATTAATAATCGATTCTTGGCGTCAAGAATCGATGCAGTAGATCATGAAACTTAGAATCACGATGCATCATCATGACGATTATTTTGCACACCCCTAATGTGTGTGTGTGTGTGTGTATATATATATATATATATATATATGTGTGTGTGTCCTTTTATAGATGCATAAAAAGAAAGCTGGTATGTTCTAGTTCTAGAACAGTCCAACGTGGTTCTGTGAATTAAGAGGATCTAACAACACATTCAACAGGCTACATTTGTTTTTACTGCTGTTGAAACACATTGTAAAGGCAGCTTCTGTGAGGGATGATGGCTGCAGGATGGAGTATTTCAATACATGGAAGCGTCCTTTAGGGTGAACTCTGAATGCTGCTCTGTAACCATTAGAGGTGTGAAACATATTCCTTATATCTGCCAACTGTTAAGTATCTTTACATTTGGAGCTTTAACAAAAAAAATTAAAGGTTTTGGTTATTATGGCAGTACTTATACTACTACAGGCATCAAGGCAGAAACTGCCAAGTGTTGTGTCGTATTCCATGATCATCACAAGTTAGCCCAACTCAACAAGTGATGAGTTTATTGTAACCATTTTTCATATTCAAATTTAATTACTGTAGTTCCAATAGTGATGGTTTATTGGCTTCAAACATGCTTAATAATCAGAACATGGTTGATTGATCTTCCCGTTTTCCTCTTCCAGAAGCAGGGCTGTACGCTCTGCTTTTCTACCAGGAGTAAAAGTGCTCCCCCCCAAAAAAAAAGAGTACACTAGAAATTTAGGGGAAATATGAATTTCATTAAATAGCACCCTTTTTGTTTTTTTAATTTGAATGGACCTTGATCTTTTTTTTTCAAATGGGGGTTTTCAGTCATGATTTATCCCCCTGCTTCTTCCCTTTTCAATATGTACAGAACAGAAGGTTTTCCTCAAACTCAAGCTGAGGGAAGACTTTAATCCAACCTGATTTAACATGCAAGCCTTGTTAGCAGTGTCGCTAGAAGTCAGCAGAGAGAGAGAGAAATCAGCATCTATCTGCTTAGTTGAAATCAAGGCACTAGAGATGTCTGAAAATTCGCTAAATTTAGCGACAAAAGCATTAACTTGGCAACATGTTGCATTATGCTACGTTTACACCTAAAGCAGGAGCCTCACAAGGTTCTTAACGTCTGAGACTGACAGGGAGACAGACACAGCACTGCTGATGCAGAGCGCTATGATCACTCCTCTGAAACAGTTTATTGACGTCTAAATTAACTTAACATGCCCAAATCTGCCTGTAAAATATGTTCGCTTTTACTACCCTGGTGCCTGCAGTTTGGATTAAGTATGTGAAGAACGCTAACATCTTCTCCCAGCTGCTGCCAACAGCAGCAGAAAAGGGGGGTCTGAGCGGCTCCGACAGCAAAATAATATTTGAAGGCAGGATAGTTATCTAGATGAAGTGACTGCACAGACGATGTTTTCAGGTGGACTTTCTCACCTAAAAACATATTAAAACTACTTTTTACTAGGGATGGAATTAGGGGTGGGTATTGGCAAAGGAGTCATGATTCGATTCGAATCACGATTCACATGCCACGATGC